ATGATTTTATTGTTTCTATAAAAATGATACATGCTTGTTATAAAACATAGTCATAAAAATACAAGGAAGAAAAAGCCACACATCCTCCAACAACTGCATCCCGATATTGCCAATGTTCCCTGTGTGGTGTCCAGGCCCCTCCCTGCTGCACAGATTAGAACTAGTCTAACAGACAAATGCTTCCCCAGCGGGGCCCATGCCACACGCATGGGGGCTGCTTCCACTTCCCATTCCTGTCTGTTAAGTATATAACTGATCTTTGTGTCACTTGCCAGGAAGGAGTGCCAAAGGTCTCAGAAAAACGTAGGATTTAAACTTAGTCCTGAGAAAACTCCATTATGATGTGACTGCTGCCAACAAATAAGAGAAASCAACTGCTTGCTGGGCACGGTGATGCACATGTCTCTAACCCCAGCTCGGGAGGCTGAAACAGGAGGATCGAAAGTTCAAGGCCAGCCTAATCAACTTAGTGAGGCCCTGAGCAACTTGGCAAGACCCTGTCTCAAAACAAAAAATAAAAAGGACTGAAGAAGGGGCTGAGGATGTAGCTCAGTTGGTAGAGTGCTTGCCTCGAATGCACAAGGCTCTGGGTTCAAACCCCAGCACCACCAAAAAACAAACAACAACAACAAAAAACCCTGGGATGTGGCTCAGTGATTAAGCATCCCTGGGTTCAATTCCTGGTACTAAAAAAGAGAGAGGGAGAGAGAGAGAAACTAGTCACAGTTACTCAAGATTTCCAGGTTGATCCTAGAAACAGCAGGATGGGACAGGGCTAGGATCCCTTACACAGGGCTGCCTTTGGGACTCAGGTGAGAATCACTGCTGATGTTTTTCACATTTGGGGAAGTGTGATGGGCAGAATAATGTCCCCAAGACATCAAGGTTCCAATCCTTGGAACCTGTGAACTTGGTACTTCTCATGGTGGAAGGGACTTACCAAAGCGATTTAATTAAGGGTCTTGTGAYGGGGAGATTACTGGGGCTACCTGTGGGGCACACTGGCACGAGGGTCAGAGTTAGAAATGTGAGCACAGAGGCAGGGTGCTCACATTTCTAACTCTGACCCTCGTGACTCCCACCACTGGGGAGTGTGTGGCTCCAGCATCTGGCACAGGCTGGGAAAYGGACTTTCCCAGAGCCGCCTGCAGGAGCACAGGCCTTAGACTGCTTTAGAGCCTGACTTCACATCGCAGTATTTTTGTTTTGCTTTAAGCCAGTGGGTCTGAGGAATTAGTGCAGCAATTAAAAATGAACATGGGAGACCCCCCACCCCCACTGCCCCAGGAAGAATCTGACTTGCTCTTTAGGCAGGGTGGGTGGGGCCAGCAGAGGGGGTGCCAACAACCCAGGCTGCGGAGCCCTGAGGTATGTGCAGCACCCCCTCCTGGGGGTCATGAGCCAGACGAAGGAGGGGCCCTGCTGGCCTCTGGTCAGTCCTCATCCTTCTGGGAAGGAGATCATGGGCCCACATCTGAGACCAGGGCTGCCTCAAATTCACCCATTATGTCACATCGAAGGAGAGCTCTTGAAAGATTTTCCAAGCAATTGTTTGTTCTGCAGTGCTGGGGATGGCACCCAGGGCTTCTCACATGCTCGTCAGGTACCATGCCACCAAGCTGCACCTCTGGCTATCTGGGCATCTTTTAATGATGTCATAACGGCTGAAGGTACAGGTGCACGGGATAAATAAAAAACACATTCTCTATATGGCAAAAGATTYTTGTCATATGACTACCAGAAATATTTTCTGGGAACCTTTGGTGGGAGACTGGCTGGGTTTCCCCTGAGCACCCCGTGTTTGCAAACCAGACCTAGAAATTCAGGGTCAGGCAGCACCTGCTTCTATGTAAGGAATGCGAGTCACCGTGCAATGGTGGCTATGTCAGGGTGCTGTTTTCTTTCCTATGATCCCCTGTTGCTGCATTATCTGTGACTGAAATTTATTTCAAAATGAGAATTGAATCGTATATACAGAAAGCTCAACTACAAAGACTTTCATRCAAAAAAATTTAAACTTTATATTTCAAATTAATTTCAGACTTCCTAAGGTGGTACCAATAAGAAGGCCGTACACCCRGCTCCCCCAAAACACTGAACAGCCTCAGTCCAGAATCAAAGCAGGAAATCCATGCTGGTACCACTCCACTGGCTTACCTGCAAGTTCTCAGCACTTAAGAATGTCCCAATGTCCTTTCCCAGAAGCCAGGATCCACATGGCACMGAGTCCCCACATCTCTTGTGTGCTYAGCGTAYGATAGTTACTGAGCTACATCCCCAGCCCTTTTTGAGACACAGCTTTGCTAAATTCCTGACGCTAGCTTAGAACTCACAATCTTCCTGCCGCACCCTCCTGAGCCACTAGGATTACAGGCACATGYCACGGTGCCTGGCTCCACGACCTTGACAGTGTTGATGGGCAACTGTCTGGTGCAAGGTCCCAGGGTGGGTCTGCCTGTTTCTCATGATTAGGTTCAGACTGTGTATTGGGGGCAAGCCTCAGAAGCAAAGCTGTGTCCTCTGTGCATGATACGGGGCATGAGCTGAAGTCAGTCTCATTCCTGGCAATGACCACATGGCCAAGGGGATCACCCCTGTAATGTCACWGTCATTCCCTTTGTAATCACTAAGCATCTGGAGTGGAGGCGTCTCAAGACGWGTTTTGCCTCACATTTTGTTACTAACTTCACTGTCTACTGACGGTTCCTGTCTGCTGCCATTATCACTGTATTGTTTGTCACACATGATACCTTGTCCCCATCAATTCTTCCATACTAGTCAGAATTCACAAGGAAAAGCTGTCCCTCCTACCACTGACATATTTATTCAATTATTTCCTCCGTTGTGGCTGTAGCCCAGCACCATCATTATTTATTTTCTTCCTCAGTTCATCTCAGGTTTGGCCAGTGGGAGCTCCATTACTGCCTCCTGCCTCCTCTCAGCAAGCTGGGCACTTGTTCAGTAATTCCTTACTTCCTGGCAGATATACTGGGCTCATCTTGACTTCCCCTGCYCTGGCCTTAGTCTCCACCAAGATCCTGGTTCCTCTTGTGAGAGAATGGTAGAACCCAGACCTGGGGCTGGGTGTCATGGCCCTAGGCCTTCCATATACAAGGGCTAGGACACTCGCTTGCTCACGCCCTGATTTCTACATCTAGCTGTCCTTACATTGGAAAGCTAGGAGTTCAACAGAGCGGGATCTCATCATCTACAGTGCTGTTCTAATTTTCCATCTTAGAATAAATGGGGCCAGAATCATGGTCCATGTGGAAAATAGCTCACTACCTAAAGATCTTTCGTTAGTTAGCTTTGGTTAAAATGTCTTCCAAAGTAACCCAGCCTAGAGCCATCTCTGCCATCACTGGCTCCCCACATCCTGGTTCGTGTGTTTTGAGCACAGTTCAGGCAGAACATAGGTGCTGAGAGGCCTCATTCCCAAGGCTTCTCTGCCTAGTGGGTGCCATTTAGTTTCTGGTTTATCCTTCCTGATTTTTTTTTTTTCTTATACAAATAAGTGAATAATCCTATGGCTTCCCATGTCCCTTCTCTGTAATGTTCAACAGGTGCTCTTGTGRCTCTGCGTTTCCCTGCTTATTAGGACGTGGCACCACTCATCACATCAGCTCAGCCTGTCCTCCTCCATTGCTGGYGCAGTGCTCTGCCGCATGGAGGTCGCAGTTCATACAGTATCTGGCACAGAAGGGAGTTTGGGTTGTTTAATGCTTTGCAACTGCAAAATGTGCTGCGATGTGCACACTGTACACATAGACTTAGAGCTGGGCATGGCGGTGCACTCCTGTAATCCCAGAGGATGAGGCAGGAGGCTTGCAAGTTCGAGGCCAGTTTAAGTACTTGATAAGGYCCTAAGCAACTTAATGAGACCCTCTCTCAGAATAAAAAATAAAAAGGGCTGGAGATGTGGCTCAGTGGTTAAGCACCCCTGGGTTCAATCCTCACTACCCCMAAAATTAATAATAATAATAATAAAATAAAATACTTAGGAATGGCTCAGTTTGGCTTAAGACTTTTAAAGTAAAATAATAAGCCCCAACTCTACAGCACACTGAATATGACAGAGATCAAATGCTAAACAGGCTGCAGACAGGAGCAGTTGCATGTGATAACCATGCTCAGTGGGCATGTGGAAATGAACCCAGCCCAAGAAACATCCCCTCCCGCAGGGTTGTTTGGGATGTCTAACAGAGAAAGGGCTCACCATGGCACAGAAAACTCAAGGCCTTAAACACAGAGAACTGGGGATGAGCTGAAAGCCTCCACCCCTCACAGGCCCACGGTGCAGAGGGGCCCATTCTCAGGGCTTACAACTGGCAGGCTTGTCTGCCCTTCCTGGCGGGCCTGGGGAAGGTTTACCACCAGAGGGTCATGCCCTGGTTCTCTTCCCCCCAAACCTCCTCTCACTGTCCTCCACACACTTCCCAGGAGCCAAGGAAGGTAGTCTGCAGGGCCAGCCCTTCCCAAGGTGCTGCGAAGAGGGGCAGGTCTGAGCGCAAACAGGCCCAGATGCACATGAGCATTTGTTGGTGGCCTTGAACCCTGGCATAYAGCAGAATACCTGTGATGTTAAGCAACCCACAGGCAATTCTGAAAAAGACCCAAGCGCGGGGCGTGGTGGCACACACCTGTAATTTCAGGACTCAGGAGGCTGAGGCAGGACAATCATGAGTTCAAAGCCAGCTTCAGCAACTCAGCAAGGCCCTAAGGAACTCAGTAAGACCCCGTCTCTAAATAAAATATAAAAAGGGCTGGGGATGTGGCTCAGTGGTTAAGCACCAACGAGTTCAATCCTCAGTACTAAAAAAAGAAAAAGAAAGACACCTGGGCCGAGAGCCACCATTGTAAGCACTACTTAAAGAACTCAGTTGACACCAGGGCACCACTACTGGGATGTACCCAGGGATTCTGAGCAAGCATTGGCAGTGAAAGAAGTGGGGTGTAATAATAGGATAAAAAATYAGAAAACAACCCAGTCTAACTACAAATGAAATGAGATATTTTATTATTTATAGTCTCACYACAAATGGATTGATATTTTATCCTTCAGCAGTACAATAAGTTACTGAAATTAAATGTCTAGTTTGTAATATACCCTAATACTAACTAGAAAACAGAACTTTGGTTATGAAGATACTTGGTGCAAGGCATAAACAAAAAAATCAAGAAGCCAAATATGTCAAAAAGCCAAATTATTTCTCACTTCCTATTTTATATTCTAGTTTTATTGGGGGAAAAAAAAGGAGATGCACTGGCATGCCTGTGCAGGAGCACAAAACAGGGCAATGCCTTGCCAAGGAAGTCATTTCCGGACAGAATGTGTGTGTCAGGGACTGGAATCTGCACACTTGGCGCATCAGTAAGGAGCGCTACCCAGAGCACTGCAGYGTGAGGGTGGCATTCCGCAGGTCGTCTCTACCAGGAGCCTCCTGGGACCCTGTGATGCACAAGATTTAAAGATAAAAGCATCTTATAAAAGGTAAATGAGGCTCTAAAAGAAACAGAAATTTTTGAACATGATTTGGGGTGCTCCAGGAGATAGGTGAGTCCTCCACAAGTCATCCCCACAAGCAAGGCACCTCCACCTGGCTGAAGGTGGTACGCTGCAAAGCATCCTGAAGGCCTGCTGCTGAGGACCACTCGGGCAGGTGAGGGCCGCGAGCAGAAGGGCCTGTGCTCACCTCAGAGCGCCTCTTGGACGMAGCCCACCGGTCATCTTCTCATTAAGATTTATTTTTTGCCTCTGATTTTCCATCTATCAAGTCACCAAATCCCAGTTTTTCCAATGGTTCCTGTGCCATCAGCTGCCTAAAAGAAAAAACGGGAAGCTGTCAGGTGCAAGAGCAAGGTCCACCCAGGCCCACCACACACTGCTCTGTCCCAACAGCCATTCCTGGGGGGTTCCTGGGACCTCATTCTATGTCTTAGAGACAGAGCAGTATTGTCTGATGGGCCCCTCTGCCTGTGCCCTCCCCAGAGGGTGGTGCCTACCCAAAGCCTCCATGTCTCCTTTCAGACACTTTGAGGGCCTCTGTGGCCTGCCTTCCTGGGGGAAGCATGCACCACCTCACAATTYAGAGGAGGAAGCTGTTGAGGGTGTGGACAGAGGTTGGCCATCAACAGGTGTCCACATAGGTGTGTGAAGCCCCCGAGGGAGGGGGTGAACCAGGGCTGAGGAGCCCAGCTCCAGAGCCACAGCACTCTGGGACAGACATGTGCAGGTGTAGGACCTCTTYACACCTGGCCTCCAGGTCACCATGAAGGCGTATCTGATGAGGCAGGAGGATGGAACACACTACTTAATAATTTATTAGCTTTAAAATATTTAATATGTGAAGTGTGGGCTCTATTTTGCTCCTCTCAGTCCTACACAGTCAGGGCCTGGCCCCACCAGCAAGAGACCAAGGCCAGCTACTAGACCCATCTGTCAGACCCCAGGCAGCCAGCATCCCCCCTATAACCACTGGGTGTCAGCCTCCTCCTGTGCTGGTAGAAGCCCAAACCATTAAAGTCAACGCCCAACACTGAGCACTGTGCAGCCCTTGTTGGGCCTCCCACCTCCCCTGCCTTGGGCAGGCTCAGAGGGCAGGGGAGAAGGGCTCAGAATTGGGTGGAGGGAGGGCTCAGAGAGCAGGGAGAAGGGAGGGGCTCAGAGCACAGGGGGAGAAAACACCTCAAGGACTGTGTAAGTCTCTCCTGGTGCCCCACCTGTGCTTTTCATATTTGAAAAATCAAAGGTGTTTTTGCTCCTCAAAGGATTAAAGTGTTGAAACTTGCCCATTGAGCAGGACAGCAAGAAGTAAAGCCAGGTGTCTGTTCCCATCAGAGCCTCGCCCCACGAACCAGTAATGGYGCCAGGCCAACAAAACCTGGGTCCACCCCTTTCATTCAAGATGTCCTCAGAACTGCATGTTCCCATTTAGTACAATTCTATAACATGGAATTCACAAGCTATTTCTAGACTCCATGTTAGGCAGACAATAACAAATTTTCACTACATCTTGGTAAAGAACACATCTGGCCAACAGCTCTTCACACCCACCTATTAGACTTTGCCTGGCCAATAGAATAATGACCYCCAAAGATGTGCACATGTCAATTATTGGAGCCTGGAGAATGCTATCTCACTTGGGGAAGGGGAATCCGGCTGCTAATCATCAGGTTTTGAGATGAGAGAGTATCTTGTGTTATGTAGGTGGATGCATCAAATGACCTGAATCCTTAGAACTGGAGAACCATTCCTGGTTTTTTTCTTTGCCCAGAAAGGAAATGGCAAAAGGATCAGAGATGCACCACGGCTGGCTATGAGGATGGAGGAAGGGGCTCCAAGCCCAGGAATACAGGTGATTCTAGCAGCTGGACAGGGCAGGAGCCTCCAGCAGGAACCAGGCCTGCTGGCACCTTGACTCCAGAACCAGAGACTCACACCAGACTTCAACCTATACTACTCGGGACCACAGGTGGTTCCGGCMGCCTGCCCATGGTATCTGTTACAGGGACCACCCGAAGCAAGTGTAGCGGTGCTTGCCCTGTTGCTGCCACTGATGTTCAAAAGGAAGAAGGAGCAAGGAGGAAAGACCACGAGCCAGACGGGACGCAGTTCAAGAGATGCCCACAGTCCTTGTGGAAGCCAGCCCCATGGCTTTCAGCAAGTCCTATGGCTAGAAGAACGGTTTCAGAACTCCCTTTAGCCTAAGTGAATCAGCCACAAATTTTTCCCATTTCCTAGTCATTGTTTAAGGACTGAGCCGCTCAGATACCGGCCAAGAATCACTCTGGAATCTTCATAAAAAGCAAAATTAGTCCTGTTTATAACAGTGCCATCATTTCACAGGTATTTAACTTCATGATTCAGTGCAGTGGGATATTTATAGATTTCTTGTTCTTTTTAAAGCTGTTTTAGTTGTAGATGGACACATAACTTTATTTATTTAATTTTATGTAATGCTGAGGATCAAAACCAGTGCCTCACATGTGCAAGGCAAGCACTCCACCACTGAGCCACAACTACAGCCCCATACTTCTTGTTCTTGAGGGTAATAATGGCAGCAACGCTGATGGTCCCCAARTCATACCAAGTGCTCCTTCACTTTCCAGGCCAGAGGCCCCATGGTCCCATCACAGGGTGGATGGTAAGAGCGAAGATGCTCCATCAGGTCATGTATATGACCCTGATGTCCCTAAGACAGGACCTGAACTTTTAAATTACTACAGAGGTTTGAGATCTTAGATTATTATGTATTAGTCTTCGCCAATGTAACCCCAATTTTGACTTTTTTTCTAGGAGAAAATATGGTCCTCCAAGACAGATACCTACTTTTCCCTCGTGCTGAAACAGCCCAAGCATGAGAACTTTAAAAACTCTACTGAGGACCATTTTCTGAAAAGATGCATGTGAAAGTAAGTAGAGATAAAAGAGGGTTTGGGATTTTAACACAGAAAAAAGGAAGGAAGAAAATAAATGGTTAAAMGTGTGGGTGTGTGTGTACGTGCACACACGCATGCTCATGTTTTACATGGGCCAGCAGCAGGTGTGTGATATCCTGACCTGAGTCTGGGTAGGCCAACCTTGACTATCTTTTATGATGTTTGATGATTTTCATGACCAACCAACCAGCCACAATTATCCAGTCRAAATAACTCAGCAAAACAAAACATACACAGCTGCACACTTGCCTCAATGTCACCTGGCCAGTCAGTGAAACCACTGAACGTTGTGGCACCATGTCCTTTCTCCTGCYATCCTCACTGGCTGCATCCAAGCAGCACTGAGTGCAGCACAGGTACAGATGCGGGCAGCTGCCTGCAGCTCAGCCCAGGACACACAGGGAAAGTAAGACTTCCTCTTCCCAGACCTGCCTGGTAGCCTTCATCAGGGAGGCCAGACACCTTTCCGGCTCCCATATCCACCATATCCTCTGAAGAAACTCCAGGTAGGAGCAGCTGTGGCCTGGGCCCAGCTCTGTGGACAGCCCATGGAATGCTCATCTTATTTGCTAACTTTCTCCAGCATATCTAGACCTGCTTACACCCCAGGCACAGGCAGAGATCACTCTTCTCGAAAGCTTGGCAGCACCAAAAAGAAATTCTCAGTTCTAGCCTCCTAAAGATCTATCAGCTTAAGATATTCAAAGATGTGGTTCCAACCCATGTGCAATTTAGAGGTGGCAGGAGCTGGATTTAGTGTGGCCCTTGGACATTCAAGTCCCTGTGAGCCCAAGAAACACCTATGAAGGCAGGACAAGGGCCTCACAGGAGGTCTACACTGCCAAAGCCCATCACCCTTACAGTCCCAAAGGTCCACACTGAAGGCACACATCTGAACCTTGAGGAAGTGTTCAAAGTTTGTTGCTCAAACTGAAAAGAGGRCTTAAGTAGACCACTGATGTCAAACTGTGAAGCCAGAATTAGACAGCAGTAAGTATAGACAGGTAAATCAAGTCAGATCATATCAAGGAAGACAATTTTAAGTGAAACTGGGAAGTAGGAGACTGTCCCCTGAGGGACTGAAATGTTAATTTCTTGACAGCCCTTTCTCCACTCTTATCAAGAACCTGCCCCTGCTCTAACCAAGGTAACCTGTCCCAGGAATTGCCCCTCCCTACAGAGAACTATAAGGTTATTAATTAATGTGTCCAGGGCTGCTCCATCCTGTCCTTCCCCCTTCAGTCCACCTGTTTCCCACCTTTGGGCCATCCCACCCAGCATTCCAGGGGATAGTCACACACACAGGAAGGAGAGATAAGGGAAAGAGCAGGAGAACAAAGGAAGCCTAAGACCTTAAAAAGGCAGAACACCCTCACTTCTGGGGATACCAGGATGCCAGCTGTGGCCCCCTTCTCTGTCCTGGGAGAAGTCTATGTTACCCCTTTTTAAATAAACTTTGCTTTATATGCTTGCCTCGGTGTGCTTCTCTAATGTTCAAACTTCAACATGTGAGGGAGCAGAACTCGTCACCCATAACTGGCGGTATCACCTGTCTGAACATTGAATTCCTTAGGGAGCTGACTGTGGCCTCAAAAAAGCAAAAATGAAAACTCCCACCATGATCATATAATTATATGTTACATGTTTTGTCACATTAAGGATTAAAATAGCTCTTATTTTAAGTAAAAGCTTCACAGGTCACAGTTAGAAATGTTTTGTTTTTGTTTAAAAGTGAACGCTGGTGAATTCTGGTTAAGATAGAAGAATCATCCATCTTTCATCATTTTTTCAATAGTCTATTGTCTTCCTGTCACATTCCAAACAGCTTTAAGTGGAACAAAATGACACAGTGCATATTTTTATAGTCTGAGAATGTGAAAGAAATAAACTGTGTACCCGCACAATCTTCAAATCTTTTGACTCAGCGTTTTATGATGTACGACTCTAAAACCTTAATGACAGGTCAGTAGCACCCAAGTTTGGAAAGAAAATGCTCTGAGGAATGCAATCATGGGTAATGCTGTCACTCAAGAAACGGTTCCCAGGATTGCCAAACAGCTTCTAGTACAATCTCATCTGATAAGCTTCAATTACACTAGCAAACGCCCTACAGTTCTGAAATACACAAGTTGAACTCCCGGGCTGAATAATGGCTTTTTAGGGAGGAAAACAGCTTTGGCTGGAGAAGTGGGAGTAGAAGTCATAATAGTGAGCTTGTACTTGCCTTTCCATCCTGCACTCTAAATATTCTTTTGATTCATTTCTGCACAAAGCATTTTCAAAATGATTGTCACGGAGACACTTCATGAATTTCTCTTTAAAGCTTTTACATTCACCTAGAAGGATAAGGAAAAYGTCTTCTTTTCACAGTGAAAACATGAGTTGCCAACACAGCAGCCTTAGAGTGGCATCACTGTCCTTTTCAAAACTTGTTTCCCTCATAGGGACCAGCGGGCGTGAGGCCCCAGGCTACATCCCCAGCACAGGGAAAACAAAAACAAACCTTGATTTCTTCAGAAACATGGAAAATGACACTCAAAAGACAAAACCAAGTGCAGTAAAATGTTAAGGGCAGAATCAAGATAGTGGGACAGGGGAGTTTTTGGTAAGAGTTCTTTTAACTTCACTGTGTTTTGGAAAAATTCACAACAAAATATTTGGGCTGAGGCTA